GCAACTGCTGTTGCTAAGGTGCAGCATACCCCGGCTTTCAATTCTTTTTGTACAGAAACCACCTTTAAACACAGACCAGAAGGTTTCCTATTCCCTGCCCCTTGCCACTCACCAAGATTGTAGAGGTATTCGTAGCTTGGCAGGTTATAGCCAATGATGTAATGGGTTTTCCAGCCCCCAAAAAGCGGGAATCGGGGACGGATCTCCATCTCCACAGAGTCATCCAGGACAAGGAGGTGGCTGGTGGAGATGTTCCCAATTTCATCTCTGTAATAGACATCCTGAGCAGCAGCTGGGAGAATGGTCTGTACAGAGAGAAGCAACAGTCAGTGCATTGGACAGGAGTTATTTCCAGTGAAATTGGCAAAACCAGTATTGGCTGTTAAGCCTTGAGAAACTGTGTTCCCTCATGAGACATGACAAAATGACCATTCAGTTGCACTGAGTGGTAAAACTGTGCTATTATAAGCAATCACAGAAGTGGCTCCCAGCACTAAAATCACTTGGCCTCCCAAATGAATGTGCTCTCTCCAGCCCAGTTTCAAACATCTCAGACAGCAAGGGATCTCATCATGCCCACCAGGACAGCAATTCCCTTTTCAATCCAGCCTGCTGCCCTAGCTCACTGGACTTGCTGGCTTTACAGTCAGCAAAATGAGATTTCTGTTTGGCTGCACCACCTTAGAGAATTACAACAATCAATCCTGGAGGGTTCAAGCAGAGAGAAAGGTTTTGGCTCAGATGAAAACACAATACTTTTCACATCTGGCTAGCTGAGTCACAGCTTTAACTCTTGTTGAGAGCTTTGTGAGCAAGGAATGAATGGCTGAGTTTCCAATTAATACTGTTCAACATGATGAGGATATGGCAGAGAAGGCAACGCTGAAAATAAGAGGGTGGGCATAGAATGAACGGTCCTTGCACAGCAGGAAACCAAAAGCAGAGTTGTCAGTACAAGGATAAGGAGTTTAGAGGGTCCCTGAGATTGGAGGGGTGGAAGTGTGGAGAAACACTACATGCCCTGCTATGAGTAGTCTGTGTGGCCAACAGATGCAATAAAACATATAACTTCCTAATGCTGCCTCTAGAAGCTATTCCTATCTAGCATGAGCCTTCTCTGAATATAGATCAGAGCTTTAATATCCCTTATGGCTGGGGTATGGCTACCAAAGAAAAGGCAAAGGATAACTTTTTTTTTTTTTCTCTGGGGATGTAAAAAGGGGGAAGCCACAGTTAAAAAAAATACAGGTTGAAAATGTCAACCTTAAAAGACTTGACAGAAGAGATCCCACTGTCTGGCTGTCTCTGGTAGTCATATCTGGAGAATGGCCCTTTCAGCACTGCTCCTGTGTGCTTTAAATCAACCGTCTCTTCAACCGCAATGTTGCCCCAGTGGGACACCTCGATGACTCGTGTCATGCTGGTGATGGTCAGGAAGGGACTGTTATTTTCGTAATGCACCTTCAGAGTGTCCTAACAAGGGAAAAAACAAGATAAACTATTAGACCTGAAGGAAGAAGCAAGGTCCCCTCACAATTATCCACTCCATGTGCCACAGAGACCCCTCCATGGCAGATGCTGCAGAGATGACTCTGACTGCACAGGAAGGTCTGAGACACCCAGCCCAGTTCACACTGGGTACCTGGGGGTACTCACAGGTTAAAACCTGCACATTTGGCTGTGTTAAAAAGGTGAGAGGGGCCAGAGATGCAGTGTTCCCCACTGCTGACACACCCCTGCCAGAGCCACTTAGATACCAGCTTGGTTTGTTCTGTGGACACCAAGCAGCAGTCAGCAATCCCATCTGTATAGGAGCACCTTGCTGGAGCATGTGTTCCTGGCCTACATGTGGTCTAACTCGGGCTTCACCTGCAATTCTTACACAAAGGCCTCTGCTTCCTTCTCTCCAGCCTCTCAGACACATCTCCCATGTCTGGAAGACGCTCTATGCAGAGCCACAACCCCTTGGCACAGACATTTACCTGGCTGTATGGAGGAATGTCCTTGAAGGGGCCATACTCAATCATGTCCTCAGTGCGGGAAGGGTTTCCCAGCTTGGTGTAACTCTCCACGTTCCTAGAGGCCAGTTTGACCCGAGTCGTTTGGGTCTTGGTGAAGTAGGGTGAGTAGAAATAGTGATTTCCTTCAAAGACCACAAACTGCTTCTCACTTTGGGTGATGTGGGTGGGGTAGGGCTGCAGGACGTGTGTGAAAACCATTTCAACAGAGACACGGATCTTGGCTCCCGGTGCCAAAGGAGATGGCAGCTTCACAGAAAAGAATTTTCCACTGGAAGGGAGAAGAACAGGTAAGTCATGTGAGATCTCCCCTGAGAGAACATTCAGATCAATCCCCTGTGGAAGGGAGCCCATGTATCACGTGTATCATGTGTGATTTGGGCCAGTATTTTACTTGCTCCTCAAAGATGTACAGATGTCTTGTCCCAGCACATGTGATTACTCTGGACTGGGGAGGCAGCACAGGGTGAACTGTGTCCAGGCACAGAGACAGTCTTTGCTTTGCAAAAGCACCTGGCTCCCATTTTGGAAGTGGAATGAATGGTGACACATTCCCTCCCTGATCCTGCATACTTCATTTATAAAGCATGCTTTTATTTTTTCGTTCTTCTCCAGATGACAGGAATTATCTGAATCAAAGGAAGCATGTGTATGTGTCCAGAAGACAATTCACAAACATCTCCAGCACCTGTTCCCACAAAGTCTGTTCATTCTCAGTTTTTTGCCCACCGGATCTAAAATTAAGGAATGGCCAGAAAATTAGCAAGGTTTTGGACTGAGGTTCTACAGAATGGATTTAGACTTCACCAAATCCATGAGGATCAGACTTCATGTCAATCCTGGCAGCCCAAGAGCGGGATCACATGAGGCATCCAGGCACATCAGAAACTATGATCCACCTTGACAACTCCATAGCTACTGCCCTCTTGAAACCCAGCTGCACTGTGCTTTTGAGCCACTTTACAGGCAGTCTTTACCTTTCAGCTCTCACAGCTCAGAAACCACCTTGCTGCCCAGTCTTGCATCATCTGCACAATATTCCAAGCTTGGCAGTGCAGATCCTCATACCAACAGTAGCATCCTCTCTCCCTGCAGCGGGCAACAGCCTGTGCTGGGCCATAGGACCCAGCACACTGCGATGCTCCCCACAGGGCAGACTGAGCGGTGCTCTGGGCACACAGCCACAGAGCACTTAAACTCCCTGTAATCACCACTGCCAACCCTCTGAGAGCTCAAAAGGGACCAAAGGGTAGGAGCATGACCACAGCTATAATGTTTCTCTCACCTAGTGTCCCTCAATAAAGGGCCAGGGCATTACTCAAGGCACTGAGTACAAGAGACTAAGCACAACTGAGCCCCCACAAAGGCAGCTGAGTTGCATTTGAGAGAGATTCACTTCCTCATAGGGTGCTCCCCTGACTAGCAGCCATGCATGACTGTGCTGGGCTCAGTGCAGAGATCTAAAATCTCTTAAACCTCATGTGTTATCTCCCAAGGAAAGAGCACCAGCAGGAGGGGAGTGACTTCTACTGGGGAGTCCTGAGCTGCAGGAACTGGATTTGGCTGCTTGTGTGAACCATGCTCCCTGCCTCTGTAACACCCCAGGATGCAGTCTGAGTACAGAATGGACCTTTTCAGGAAGAAAAGACTCTAGGGTTTCTAGGTATGTGGAACAGGGGTGGTATTTCTGCTTCACCACGGGGACAATTATGAAACCCTCATGCACAATCTAAGTACTGACCTTTAAAGGTGATACTCACCTTTTGCCCTTAACTTTAGTCTCTCTCACTTCCAAGGTGTTCTCCTCCTCTTCCTCACCCTTTACCTGCTCCAAAACAGATTGATCAGTGTGCTGCTGTTTAAAAGACTTAATATGTCCAGGGCAAACTCCATACAGTCCCTCTATGGAGCTTTTAGGAGTGATGCTCTCCAGAAAGTATAAGTTGAATATATAACTAATTTATTAAGAAAATTTAACAAAAAGCCCTTTCACAACGGTTTCACGAATACAAACTGCAGTGTGGTCAGTGAGCAAAAACAGATACTAGAGGTTTCTGGTAATTCTTGTTCCTCTCAGCCTGGTTCCCAAGCCTGCACAGTCACCATAACTTGGGCAAATGCGAATACTGGTCAAACGCTGTTGTGATTTCTCTTGTGTGTAGGGAACGAGCAGAGCACGGGAATGCGGCTTGACCAGTAGAGTTATACTACAGACCTCTGTATAGAGATACAGTGTATATACTGCAGACCACCGTATATAGCTCTATATGGTATACAGAAATACACACGCTGACGGTACTTGTGGAATTAGGAGAGCCCTGCTGCTCGTGGGTAAGCACTGGGCCCCCCCGGAGATGCCGGCCCTGCTCGTGCCATGCTGGCGCGACCCTCGCACCGCCGTGACGGCTCTGATCGCCCTCCCCATCGCCCCCCAGGCCGTGCCGCCTCCGCCGCCCCCCCCGCCACAGACACCCTCGCCTTCCCCCCGCGGTGTGCGGGATCCGGGAGCGGCGCTGCGGGGCCCGGCAGTGCCGACGTGTCCCTGCGGGCGCGGGGCCGGGCAGCGCCCGCGGCCCCACCGCGGCCCCCCTGGAGCAGCGCTCGGCCCCCGCTCGCCGCGCTCACCTGCACGCCCAGGTGGGCCAGGCGGGGCTCCAGCCCGGGCTCCAGCGCCAGCAGGAAGGAGGAGGCGGCCGCGCCGCCCGCCGCGTTGGCGAGGCTGAGCTCGGCCGAGACCTTGGCCAGGTGCGTGCTGAGGTCCAGAGAGCGCCGCGCCTCCTCCAGCAGCAGCTCGGCGCCGGCCCCGGCGGCCGCCAGGCAGAGGAGCAGGAGGCGGCACAGCAGCCCCGCCATGGCCGGCACACCGCGGGGAGGGCACAAGATGGCGGCGCCCGCGCTGTACGGGCAGGGCACAAGATGGCGGCGCCCAGTGGGAGGAGGAGGCTCGCGATGGCGGCGCCCAGCGGCGCTTGAGGCCCGTCCCCCCTCCCCGCCTTCTGCGGTGCCTGAGGAGAAGAGCTGGGCGCGCTTCTGTAGAGCCCCGGGGATGGCTTTGGCTTTTCACAGTCCCGGAGCTTCCCGGCACCCAGGCTCCGGCGGCGAGATCAGCGGTTTCCGCGGTACGCTAGGCCCGTACCCCTAATGAGCTCGCAGGCCTCGGGGCTGGTCAAGGACTTGCTGGGCCCCGCTGTGGTTTCCCACCTTTTTCCCTGAAAAGGAGCAAAAAATCAACGATAACAAATAATCTGAGATGCTCAGGACTTCCACGTGCTCCTCAGCCACCTCTCCAGCCACGGCCCGAAGCAACTCGTTGTCTCCCCATCTTTGGCAGCAGCCAGTTCCTAACAGGGCTCCGGCAGCAGCACCTTCAAGGGGCCAAAGGTGTAAATCCTGGTAGAAGCGCTCAGCATGGGATGGCACAGAGGGGCTGTCAGGTTGGGTGGCACGGGGATGGGCTTTGATGCTTTTATTACCCTGAGCCTCAAACTGGGACAGTTTGTCTCTCTGGCTTGGCACATGGGTTACTACTGCTCTGGCTGGTGAGGTTTAACACAAGTAGATTTTAAGCTGAGCCCAAATCCTCTGCTAAAAAGCACTGATAATTGACAGCTAGATGATGCCAGAGTAGAAGTGCTGCAGGCAACAAAAGCATGGTAACCAGCCCTGAACTGACTTAAAGAACAGCTGGAGAAAGGAAAATGTTAGTGGTTTAACACATGACCAGGGAAGGGGTGATTGACACTTTATTCCCAAACATCTAAAGCAGATAAAAGCGAGGAACGGATGTCGTCTGCCATGATTGCCGGAGCAGGGCTTTTGCCTCTGAGCCCTATGGGACAACAGACCTTTCATGTTTGCATAATGTGATCCAGGAGTTGACCTTTCTTTGAGATCCTAATATGAGTCACAGAGCAAATTCTCTGATTTGGCCTGAGATTGCCAAGTATCGGAAGGGGATTTCCTAAATTATGTGCTTGGATCTGGAGTCAAATAGCCACTTGGCAAAGGCTAAGTAAAATGGAGTGTCTCCTGGTGTGATATGTTCAAAACAGTGTAATTTCTTAACTGGCCTTCCCTTTCTCCCCTCAACACCTTCCCCCCCCCCGTTCCTATCATGGAAATTTTCTTGGCAAATGACTTCCATTTCCTTTTGATTTATTTAGGCACCAGCCCTGTGAATTTGGCAGCTGGCCTGGTACAAGCAGGTAGTTTTGTCACTGCGTTTTGGGTGACAGCAGTGCTATATTCCAGCAGCACAGCAGGACATGGCTGCACGGGTGGGTGTCCACCTCCTCAGCTAGGGAAGTGTTCCAGGTCCCTCTGCTCTCCAGGAAAAGCCTGTTTATCTTGGCACTCTTCTCCAAAGAGCCAGGCTTTGGGGCCCCAGAACTGAGTAGGCATGTTCAGAGGGAAACAACTGTGAAACATGAGGGGCTGAGTGAAACAGCCACCTCTAATTTAAGGCTGTCCAGTGGTGCAGCATCTGGGGACTCCCTCCAGTTGTCTAGCTTGGGTTTTCTGTGGAAAGTTCCTCTGCTAGAAACGGCTGTCACTGTCCTTCCTTCCATGTGTCACAGGGAATAAATGAACTCCAGTTGGCCTCTTTAATAACACATGCAGCTCAAGCTTTTATTTCCCTCTTTCCCTCAGGGCAATTTCTCCTAGCAAAAGGAGGGAAAGAAATAAATGCACATGTCCCTTGTGTCTGGAGATAACTGGGCTTCATTTATCACATCTTGGGCCAGAGGTTGCTCTCCTATGGGTTCATCCCAGAGGCTGGATTTGAGCCTGCTGGCGAATGCAAGTTTCAGCATCTGACCCATCTCAGACCCCAGCGAGCTCTGAACCAGGCTGTTGTACACTAACCCTGTGTTTGGATCCATTTCTTATTGTGATAATTGAGTCATGCTGAGCCTGCACAGCATCTGCTTCAAGACTTCAGCCCTACCACATAGGCTAAAATTATCTTTAGGTTGAAAAGCTGCTGCCTTTGGGCTTGTTCAAGGCTGAGCTTGGCTCTGCAGGCCCCTCTCGCCGCTGCCTTGTGAGCGGTGCCAGGGTGTTCATGCATGGGTTCATTCACAGCTGCCTGTGGCCCCTGGCTGGGTGTGCTGGTTGTGGTGGCTGGGACAGCTTGGAGACACCTTGCAGGGTGTGTTTGAGCAGGGACGGGCTGCTTCTGCAGGCGAGGAGCACTGTGGGACCCTCTGCTTCCTAATTGTCCCAGGCTGCAGCGTCTGTGTGCAGATCTGGCCACCCAGGCCTGCTGCCAAGCAACAGCAAGAGCCAGGAGCCCAGAGACGCTTATTTTTCTCTCTTTATGTGTTGTTGTTTTTTTTTTTAATTCCCTCATTGTGAGGAATGTCCCCCCCAGCAGTACTGCCCCAGAGAACTGTGGGTTGGGAAGCAGCATGAGAGAGGTTACCAGACCCTGCTGCCATCCAGTGTAATTCCCCAGCTCCCGGGGTGCTGTGGAGAGAGCCTGTTACCCTCAGGGCCACCGAGCAGTGGGAGGGGAACAGCCACAGTGAAGCCAGTGCCAGCCTAGCTGTCGGCCAGGGCTGAGGCACGAGAGTGGTCTAATAAATGCCTCTGGCAGGATCAGCCATGGACAGAACTGCACCCCAGGAAAAACCCTACGCTCCTCTGTTTTTACAGGGCTGATGCCAAACTCAGAGCTGTGTCATCTGTCAGAGCAATTTGTTCTCAGGAATGGAAGGAGAAGTTATTTTCCAGCAGGAGCGGGTTGGCTGTGGTCACAGGAGCACACTGAAGCCTGTAGCAGCAGGGAACAGGATTTATCCTGGTGTGATCCTCACACCAGCAGGGAGCTTGCATCAGGAATACACAGGGACCATGAGGTAATTGTGTTGCTCTCAGAGAACCTCGAGTCAGGGGCAGGAGATATTAAACAGGCCTGTGGATGTGTAGCAGAAGTCATCCTGGCAACGCCTTGCAGATTTTAACACACATCTCTCAGTGATCCTGGAAAACACACAAGCACGTGGCTCTCAGTCTTAATGACTGAGAAAAAAACTCCCTGTTTCAGATTCTGTTGGTGTTTCACTGGTGTTTCAGATTCTGTTTGTTTCTGTCCATGTGAAATCGAACAGCCTTCTGGCTGCCAGTGGGAAGCAGAGGGCACTTCTCTGTATTCAGTCCCAAGTGAGGTGTTGCAGTTGCCAGCCATGAGAGCACAGAGAGAACACCGCAGAGTTTGCTTAGCCTTGCTAAGGCACTTGAAAAGCAGCTGGGGAAAGAGAGAAAAGAGAGTCTTCCATTTTCATTATTTTTACAACCACATTTTTTAGCTAGTCAGCATAACTCACACTGAGCCTCTGCCAAGCAAAATACAGTTATTCTTGTTTGGGGTTTGCCTGTGATTTCCATGGGAGTGGTGGGCCTGGAGGGGGCTGGCTGGGGTTTGACTCCTGTGATTTGGTCGGCTGCACTGGAAATGTGTCCTGCCTTCACAGAGACAGTGGTGATGGGGCACAGTCTGCTCAGGGGCTTTTTTTTCCAAGTTACTTTAGGTATCTGCAGTTAACACCCTCACCCTTACAGTGCTCACCTTTCTTTAAAATAATGTCTTACTACTTTTAAAAAAATCTGTTTTCCTCTCCATGTTAGATGACAAGACCCAGAAAAACTAGTGAAGAAAACTCTCTCTGTGCACAGCAATTGTACAAAGCATTGGGAAGCACACAGAGAAAACCTGCTGGAAGAAAATGGCACAGTATCTGAGTTTTGTAAGGAGGTGAGATCACTGTGTGACGAGTGTTGTTGCAATAAGGAAGAAAAAATTCAAGCAAAAAGGAAGCTTCATCACTTTAAAAATTACTTTTAACTTTGTTTTAAAACTTCCTAGAAATGTAACTGAAATAGCCATAGGCTGGAAGTGACTGGCTGCAAATGGAAAAAATCTGCTACACATGTCCAGCTGAAACGCAGAGCCTGAGCACGTGGTCCACTCGAGGGGACTCACTTTGGGCTGGAGTGGGTCTGGATTTTGTCACAGGATCAGGGCTCGTTTTGGATAGAGGGAAAAGTGCTGGTTTAACTATATTAAAAAATGAGCGTGTAATCAGGGCTGCCACTCAAGTATTTCCTGGTGCAGACAGGACCTGAGTGCAACACCCCCTTCAAACCAACTCTGGATTGGCCTGTTCACATCATCCAGCAGCTTGAAAATGCCTTCAGTGGACCGTCAAACAGGAGGAGAGAGGAGGACGGGCTGCATGTCCTGGTTTGAAAAGACAAATGCTGCCCTTCATGGAGAACCAGGGGGCAGAGAAGCTGCTGGCTGTCCTTCCAGGCTCCAGAGGAGGTGGCCGGGGGTCGCAGCCATGGGCAGAGCGGGGACATGCTGGCTCTTGGGGCAGCAGCTGAATTGATCCTGGCACAGAACCACACCTCTCCATTTGCTCATCTTCCCCAGGGTCGGCGGCGATGGCAGAAAAACATCGGGACAAATGCAATGAAAGAGCCCGCACTGGAATCAAGGCAGGAGCACCTGAGTGGCTGGTGTTGAGCTCCCTGACCTGGACTGGCTGTGCCGGGCTCCTGGCGGGCAGTTGCAGGCAGCGGTGCCACTTCTGGGCGGGCGATGGAGCCGGTTGCAGCTCTGAGGGCTGACAAAAAGCCTCACCCTCATCCCCCGGCCACGTCCCCCCGGCCCTGTCCCCTCCCCGCCATGGCCCCGCGCCACCGCCAGGGGGCGCCCGGGGGCGCCGCGGGGGCGGGGCCGGCGGGGGCGGGGCGGAGCCGAGCCCCGCCCTGATCGCTGCGGCCGCACCTTGGTGACAACAATTAATCAATTAACGCCGGGCAGGGCCCCGCTCCCTCCCACAGGATCCTGGCAGAAGCCCCCGGTGAGGCGGCATCCCCGGGCCGCTTGTGATGGGCAACAGCCGCCCGGCCCTGCGTGGGTAACGGGCACCTCGCGCTGCAGGGATCTGCGGGTTTCAGTGTGGCATCCCGCTGTCATCGCCATCCCCCAGCCTGCCAGGCTCTGGGGCGTGCAGGGCCTCTCCTGGGGTCACTTCAGGAGGTGGTTTGTCCCCGGGTTGAAGAACGGGAGGTGAGGGAGTGTGCAGTGATGCAGTGCCCAGGTGCCAGAGGACTGCAGTGGGACTTAGTGCCCATCTCTCTATAAGTGCTATTGCATTTTTCCTTCTGACCCTTTTAAGGTCCTGTGGTGCCAGGACCCACCTGAGCACAGCACAGTCCCTGGGCCATGATCCTGTCCTTAGTGGTAGGACAGGATCCTACAACTGGATCCTGGCAAGGAATTGTCACTGGCCACAAGGTACAATAACTGAGTTGCATGAAGCAACTCCTCTTTCTCAGCTTCTTTTTGGAAAGGAAAGCACTTGCTGGTGTACCTACTTAGAAGCCTGTTGTTCTTGTAGAGTTTAAACGTGGATTTTAAAGCCTTAGTTTTGCAGGATCTGCCACAGCCAGCGGGAAGTTGAGGATCCCACTGACAGTAGCAAGAGGGGGTCATTTGCAGATTGACAGCTCTTTTGCTCCCTCCAGGAGCCCTGTGTTCAAGCAGTGCTTGCTGTGAGATAATGCAGATTTCTCACCAGGTTAGTAAATTTTGTAATCTGCTGGCAGAGGCTTCCCTGGGTGATGCTCTGTGAAGTGCCAGCTGGGATATACATTTCTCTTGCAAAGGCAGCCCTTGAGCCCCTGCCAGGCTGAATCAAAACCTCTGACCCAAGCCTGGCTTTTCATGGACCTCAGCGTGCATGTGTGTGGTGGTCAGCAGTGGCCTCTTCCCCAGAGACAATCTCATCATGCCCTGCCAGATGGCTGTTGGTGATTCCTTCCCATCACAGGTCTTTTGATGTGTGACCCAAAGAAAGGGAGCATTAACCCTCTGTGAACAGCGCTGGTCTGCAGCAGTGAATGCAATCACTTTCCTGATAAAAACACCAATGATCAAGCAAAAAAGAAATGTGAGGATCTTTTGATCATTTGTTATTGTTCCTTTCTCTGAAGGCCTCGGGCTTCTCACAAATAGCTTTCCTGCCTTCCTGCTAAGAAATACTTGATAAGATGTTTGCATTGGTTTTTGCTGAGCCAGCAGAAGCGATCCACTCCAACAGAAAGGATGGCAGCCAGTGCCTCAACCCCACACAGGTCACCCAGAAAGCAGATAAAAAAGACAGCCTTATTCTCCAGCAGGCCAGCCCCAGCTCTGATGTTGGGATGGCCCTGGTGTATGAAGCAATTTGGCAGGAGTGCAGGTTAGGCAGAGCAGATGTCCCTTAGGCTGGCATTGTGCTGGTGTAGATGGGATAATGCCTCTTTTGTAGCCTGACTGCTCGCAGACTGGCTGAGAACTTCACTGAAGGAGAGAAGCCCAAAGAGATCCTGCTTATCTAAACAAAGTAAGAGATGCTGATTTCTATTTGCCAGAAATTTGGGCACCTATATGGAGCCAGCCCTGAGTGCTGGAACAGAGTAACTGAAGCTGTAACACCCACCTACAAGCATTTCAGTTTAGGATCGTGCTTTGTGAGGCATACCTTCAATTTGGTGGCTCAGGGATTTGCAAACAGTGAGTCATAACTCCCCAGGGTCAGAAATGCAGCTGCTGAGACACCAGGCATTGAAAAGTGTTGTCCAAGATAAAAGCAAAGCAAACCTAACTGCCCACACACCCTTATCCTTCAAGGCTGAGTATCTTTGTCACCGTCTTTGAAAACATGCACTCAAAATTATACCAGCTTCTTGTGGTTGCCATTGATACGGGATTTACTTCTCCTTTTAGAGCAGACGAGGGGATTGCGAAAATCTGTCACTTGAAAGAGCTGAGGCAAATAGATCTGAAGCTAATATGCAGCACCCTGTGCTTGCAGAGGTGGCTGGCATTTGAGGAGGGAATTACACTGTAAGACATATCCATGTCCTTCCCACGGAGGGTCCCAGAGGAGCTCCTTGGGCCTCTGCAGGCAACCCCTGTCCCTTCAAATCCAGGATGGACTTGCAGGTCCTGGAGAGTGTGCTGCAGTGCAGCCAGTTTGGTTCCTACCCACGGAGTGCTGTCTTTGGGACACCTTTTGGCACTGACTCACTGCTAAGGAAGAAGCGACACACAAGTCACCTGTTCCACGATGTGTCCCACTCACAGTGGTCACGTGGCACCAGGCTCCTGTCCCATGACACATTCTGGGTACAGCAACAGCATGGCACGGCCACCTTTGCCACAGAACACCTGGATGCAGAGCTGACATGGCTGGTCCACCCCATCGCACAACACCCCATGCAGAGAGGAGCAGTGGCACCAGCTGGGGGTCCTGCAGTGTCCCAGGTACTGCCAGCCATCAGCCTGTCCTGCCTGTCCCCATGGCTTCAAAGCCATTTGTGTCATAAGTTGAGAGGTCTCAGGCTCACCAGACCTTCACTGTGAAGGCTTCAGTGCTTGGTAAGTAACAGCTTGCAGAGCCTGCTGCTTTGGTAACACACTGCTTTAACAAAACCTTGATCCCTGAAGGAAGGCCAGTTCTGCAAAGGCCTATGAAGTTCTGTGCTGGCTGTTCACCTCTCTCTGTACCTATTTTTATACCATTCCTATGGTTTAAAAAGCCTTTCAGAAATGTCCGTGTTTAGAGGGACACAGATCTGACAAAGTAACTGACTCACTCCAGCCTCAGGGAAGTTACTTCACTCCCTGGATCATCTTCTCCATTTGAGTAGGAGAACAATCATATGAAATTAGCCTGCATACCTCCAATGTGGCTGTAAAAAAACAATTAGCTGGTATTTAGAACCATCTGTAAAAGTGGGAAGGTGTTGATGTTGGGGAACCTCTGTAGCTGAGGAGGCTGGACAGCTGGAAGACCTGCAGGGGACTCAGGTGATTGTCGCTATTTTTGTGACAGCCTCATGGGATTACGGTTATAAAGAGGATGTGGGTGACTCTTTGCCCCGAGCCCAAGTGTTGGCCATTAGAACCTGTGGGCCATCCTTTTCCCTGTGACACTTGACCTTTCCAGGGTCTTTGGTTTCCACCAGTCAAGGCTCCAGATAACTACGGTGGCGTCAAATGGGTAAGAACAAAGCTATATGGTGCCCATCTTACACCATGACCATGGAGTTGATTCTCCCTGCCTGTCTTGCCAGGGTCAGCATGTACACTTGTCTAAGGATGTCCCCTGTGCTCAGCATGTTGTCCACAGTCTCTGTAGGAGGCTGACTCAAAGGCAGAGCAGAGGGAGAGAGCTGGCAGCTCACATCTCAGGGAGAGAGCTGGCAGCTGAGGGAAGGTGCTGGCATTGCCACCTCCCTGTATCAAAGCGATCACAGCTCTGCAGTGATCTTGTGGCTCTTGCTATTGAACAGGGGGAAGATGTCAAAAGAGTCCAAAGCCATTTTCTTTATGTGCTCATGTCTCCTGTGTCTGGTGTGAGGGAACATGGCACAATCAGGCTTTGCAGCACTGCAGGTTGGCCCCCACCCTCTCTGTGGGGCTCAGGCTTCAATGGCTGCATTTAGACCCTATATCAGTGCTTTATCTTTAAGATGTTCATCCTCCAACAGATGCATTTTATCAGTGAGCACAGATGCTGTTAATCCCTTGCACTATGTGCAATGTCCACCTCAGACTGGAGATCTGCCATGAGATAACGATTGCAATTGCTTCCTGTAGTTGGTATCTGGTGGCCAAGTCTTGTCCAGAGCTACCTTTTTGCTTTCATGTGTTGCTGCCTGGAAATCACTTGAGGATTGCAAAGGTGAAAGCATTCATAGATTACCAGAGCAGTATTTGTGCTATAGGCAGGGATTAGGGAACAGAGCAGGCAAAAGACTATGGCTGTATTCTTGCTGGTGGAAATGCATACATGGTCACGGCAATAGCAGATTTGTAATGAACAGAATGCCAGCAGAAGCAGGCATCTGCTTTAGACAATAAAGGATGACAAAGCTTGGTGTACCAAAGCAAGAACTTGCGTGTTTACTGCATTTTAGTTCCCTTTTATAATTTTAGCAAGCTAAATCATTATAATAATTTGAGGAAGCTGATATGGAAGGCCAAAGGTGATGAGGGAAAGCATTGCACATCCAGCTGAGAGAGGACAGCTACACACAGGGATCTCTGGACAGTCAGTTTTCTGACTGTGGGCTGGTGCCACACCTTTCTGGGCACAGAGACAAAGAAGGGTCCCAGGGTTGAGCACAGCAATGAGGAGGAGGGACTGCATCTGAAGAGCTGAAACATGCTGGACAAGTATCAGGGGAATGATAGCTCCCAAAGCTTTTAATGTCAGAGATGGCCAGAGGTGAGGTAACTGTGTGTCTGTAGAAGAGGGTGAATGCATTAAGCACCATAGGGAATGTCAGACGTTCACAGCTCATGTCAAGGATTTGTAGATGCTACAGCTAAAGTGATGTGATGTGCTGCCCTAGGCCTCTCTGCAGGCCCTTCCAAAATCAGCAACCAGCAGGTGTTTTTGTGCTGCTGTTCACTCCATCATCTCATGGACTGAGAAGGGAAAAGGAGGGGCCCTTTCAGTCCAAGGACAAAAGCAAAGAGGTGGTGTAAGACATATAATGTTTTATTGCCTCTAATTGGACCAGGAAGATTAGTAAATAGAGATTAGATGACACAAAGGGAAGAAAAAGCAGGAGACATTCTTACTTCCTGGTTTAGAGGAACGAGTCCATGAAATAGGTTGAGGTTTCTGCACTGGTAAATGTCTAAAGGCCTGTCACTACAGATCCATTCACCTGTGTGAAGGTCTTTCAAGGATAGAGAATGGATTTCTTCAGAGCAGTGTTAGTGATATGGAACGACTGGCACAGGGATTCAAATTGATCCATTTTTATGGGTTTGCATTTGAGTTTTGATATTTTCAAATAAGTGGTCAGATGGGAAACAGTTTCCTTGAAGGATAGTGAAAATCATTGTGCTGGGTGGCACCAAGCTCTGGTGTCCACAAGGCCACCTGTTTATGCAGGTGGGGAGGTGTGTGTGTGTGTGTGTCTGTCCCTTCAAGAGCCACAGCTCAGTACTTCCATTTGCCACTGTTACCACTGTTTTTCTACTTTCACTCTGCCACTGCGAATGTCGCTCTCATCCGTGCCAAGACATGAGCACCCAGCCTGGATAGCAGGGACCTCTCTGCTGACATTGATCCTCCTGACAGCCAGGATTCGTGTGTTCTTCAAGGCAGGTAGGATATTGCCTCATCAGCTTAAGAAAATGGTGCATTTCCACAGGGGATCAGAAAACAGCTGTTGGTGACGTCAAGAACAAGGGGCACAGGAACTTGGTGTGAGTTATCTTCTGCGTAACAAAGGTCTGTAATAGGTGGTGCCAGGATAGCTGTGCGGTAGAGCAGGAAATTTCACTCACAGCTTTTGTTTGCTTCTCATATTGTGTAAAAAAGAAAGGAAAAAAAGGGAAAGAGAGCTGAGGAACACCCTGTAATTTGCTATTAATTACTGCTCTTAACAACCCAGCATGTGGTTCTCCTGTTAAAGGGCAAGGGACTGGGACAATCTCAGCTGCTGATGTGCCCAGGGCCCAGTCCTGGGGCTGAGCTGAGAGGGTACTTTCCACCCCATCCAAAGAAACCATGTGTGTTTGGGAGGGTTTTCTCCATCATTTCACTAATCAAAGCTTTTCCTCTTTTGTCCACTCCATGTTTTAACTGGTACCAGGTTCTTCTACAGCATTTTGCATCTAATGGGACTAAAAGCACTAACAGACTAGATGTTACAAGTTCCCTTCTCTGGGGTCTGGAGCATCTCTCTGATGAGGAGGGACTGTGGGAGCTGGGCCTGTTTAGTCTGGAGAAGACAAGACTGAGAGGTGATCTCATTAATGCATATAAATTTCTCAAAAGTGAGTACCAAGAGAATGGTGCTGGACTCTTTTTGGTGGTGCACAGCAACAGGATGAGGAGCAATGGCCATAAACTACAACACAAGAAGTTACACCTCGACATGAGGAAGGATTTCTGTACACTGAGGGTGGCAGAGCACTGGAACAGCTGCCCAGGGAGGTCATGGGATCTCCCTCTCTGGAGACATTCTAAGCCCACCTGGACATGTCACCTGCTCCAGGTGACCCTGCCTTAGCAAGGGGGTTGGACTGGATGATCTCCAGAGGTCACTTCCAACCCTAATGATTCTGTGATTTTCTTTTTAGTGTTGCTATAAGTAGCTTTGGTCCTTTTATCTCTTTCATTAGCTTTAAAAATGCTTCTTTTTCCTTGGTTGCTCTCCTGAGTTCATGGGCTACCCAAACCACAACAGTCACAAGCTGGATGAATGCATGACAATATTCAAGTATTTGCTGAATAACAAACTCACTGTCAACAGAGTAGAAAATATGGATTTAACCTTGTACGCCATGGACTAAGGTCCAGAGAGTTTACACAGTCCCATTTTACTTGCCTGCACTATTGATCTGAATAATCAATCTGAATGTGTCTTCAATTGACATCTTTTTACTTTCAGCTTCTTTCCTGACAAATGCTGTTGCTACTACCCCACTCCAGAACACAGCTGAGATTAAATATATATATATATATTCTAAAATATAACCTCTTTATTTCTAATAGCCTTCACTGAAGACGCTTTTTCCCCATATACTAATTTAACCGCAAAGGCAGGCTGCTATTTCTTCAACACCTTCCAGAGAAGACCAAAGGACAGATTCGCGCCCTTGTGTCCCCATCTTTTATTTCGGAAAGCGTGAAGGTTTCCCCAGCCCCTTCCTGCTCCCCTCCGCCCGGGGCGTGGTGTTCGCTGCCCTCGGGCGATCGGAGGCCGCGGAGGAGGCAGGTTCCCTCTGGACAGCACTATAAACATTTATTTCGCAGTGAGCACAGCGACGGGCTCCGGCGGGGCCCGCGCCCCGCACAGGGCGCGAGATGGCGGGCGGGCCGCGCGGTCACGTGTGGCGGGCGGCGGTGACGGCGCGGCCCCGTGATCGGAAGCCGGCGGGGAGGCGGAAGCGGGCGCGGGGGGCGGCGGGGCCCATTAAAGCGGACGAGGCGGGCGGGGGGCAGCGATCGGGCCGGGCCGCGGCAGCAGCAGCACCAGGTGAGCCCGCGGGGACCGGGTGGGATGGGGGAGCCCTGCACGGCTTCCCCGGCGATGGGGGGGCAGAGGCGGCTCCGCCCCGGGCGGGGGGCGCCGCTGGTGGCCCCTCCCCGGCCCCGGCGGGGCGGTGGCGCGGTCTCGGCGCTGTCTCGGCGCTGTCTCGGTGCTCCCGGCGGGCTCCGCACCACGGCCCGGCCCGTTTGCCTCCACCTACACCGAGCTCCCCGGGGCTGGGCCTGGCGCGCCCCCGGGACAATGCAGGGGGGTCTCCCCGGGAAGCGGCCCCTCCCCGCGGGCCTCTCCCGGGATGCGCGTTTCGCCAGCGCTTTGTGGAGCCTCCTCTGCCTGATGGGCTCGCGGAGGCCCGAGCGGTGCCTCCCGGGGAGGGAGCGCATTGTCTGAGCCGTGCGGTGCTGCCGTAGCTCCTCGCGGAGCCCGGGGAGGCTTTGGGGGGGCGCTGGGCCGGGGCGGTGAAATGCTGCTCTGGGGGTCGGTGGGTGTCGCTTTTAGGATGAGCCGGCGGCCCTGGGAGCGATTAATGTGACCGAGCAGGCGGCCGAGGGGACTGGCAGTTATTGCGAAAGTGGCTGTTGGTGCGTGTAAAGCCTGAGTCAGTCCGGAGAAGTATTGGAGTGGATGCTGGAAGTGCTTTTGGCTGTGAGTGTATAAGAAGGTAAATTAAGTGGTAGTTGCGTTATTAGTCTCCAGGTATATATAGACAAATAATTATGGAAATGCCTAATGGTTGTGCTGAGGACAACTACCCTATCCTCCCTGTAAATAGAGGGATTATTTTAGTAGTGAAAAGGCTGTCTTAATCCGAAGAGAGGTAACCTCAGCATCCAAATGAATATGTCTTGCCTAGTGTCTCCAAACCTTTTGAGTCGAAGCTGGAATCCTCCCTGAAAACTAAAAATATTTGCTGATAAACAGTGCTGTTGTGATATGTGTGTATGAGGTTTTTGTATGTAAACTGAGAACACATGACGGAACAAAGTCCTCCCAGCTGTAAGCAAGCTGTTCTTTGTTTGACACTTGCCAATATGGAAACCTTAAAGCTTTCAGCATTTGCCACTGGCTGGCCAGCTCTGGCCTATGGCTAACACTTTGTATATCCGTGTGGGAACTGTGGCTGGGGGAAGTGGAGAGTTCTCTTTTTAGGGGAGTGGTACATAACCAGCTATGCCATGGTATTTGGCTGGCTATGACTTGAAGGCTGTGGTGGTACCGGTATTGTGTGATGGGAGCTGCATCCTGGCTGTGCTTCCAGTGGAGCCAGGCTGCTGGAGTCAACATACTCTGCTCTCTCAGGAGCTGAATTTGAGGTTAAAGTGGGTGGAGTCATTTGAATATTCCCTGTTAAATAATCAGGGCTCCCTTGCTGTACTTACTCAGGAAGAACAAGTATACTTGTCTCTCCCCCTCCCCCTTGTGACTCCCAACAGCTGACTGAACACATGACTGGCCCTCCATGCACTAATGAGTGGACCCACCATGCCTGGCCGGAGTCCTCAGAATTAGAGCAGCTCTAATACTGTTACTTTCAATCACTGCCTTAGTTTTTTTTTTCCTTTGTGTTGCTGTTAATACTTTACTTCTGGTGTAGAAAAGCTGTGAGATGGGGTTAATCTGACCTCTCAATAAGGAAAACTTCTAAAATCCAATAGTGGTTTCTTGCTCTCCCAGGCTGCAGTGAGAAGTATAACTGATAAGATGCACAGCAGTAGCTACGTTTAACTTTCTTCTTTCCTCTGATGTCATTCAGTGGTCCCTGTCCTCAAATACCCTAATGATAGTTCAGCACAGGATCACAGAATGTCCTGAGTTAGAAAGGTCTCACAAGGATCATCAAGTTCAGTTCTTAGTCCTGTACAGGACAACCCCAGCAATCCCACCATGTGCCTGAGAGTGTTGTCCAAACACTTCTTGAGCTCTGGTAGCCTTGGTGCTGTGACCATTTTCCTGAGGAGCGTGTTCCAGTGCCCAATCACCCTCTGGGTGAAGAACCTTTTCCCAGTATCCAACCTAAGCCCCCCCGATACAGCTTCACGCTCTTCCCTCGGGTTCTGTCACTGGTCACCAGGGGAGAAGAGATGGAGAACGTGGCACCCCAAGAGTTGTACCTTGAAGGTGCCAAGCTAAGAATTTAAATAACTGTGTAGCAGACGCTGCACTACAGCCATCCTGACCCTCCTGCCAAAGCCAGGGAATCAAACTCTTTGAGTAGCACAGACATGTTACGACACTGAATCCTTAACTGAAAGTGGAAAATGTACAAACTCTGCTCTGAAGTGACCTGGGAATATACTGCTTTGTTTGGTTTACTACCCAAAATGAGTGCTTGAGGGCAGGAGGGTTCTCAGATTCAATTTCTGCAGCACCTCCCTAAAGCTCCTGTTGTAAGACTCTTGTGTTGGAAGGTCGTGTGAATTACCTGTTGGAGCAAATCTCTGGCAAAGCTTGTCCTTGAGGAAACATGACAATTACAATCAATCCATCTGTGCAAAACTATAAATAACTCTGTTTCTAACATGTATGGGATTTTGGTCTGACTTGTATGTGAAAATGAGACTAGTTTATGCAGAACTTAACATTTGGCTGTAAACAAAATTGCCTATGCTTGATTAGGGTGTGTTTTTAAATGCTGCATCGTGAGACTGCCTGGCAAACCCTAGCTTGAGAATAAGAGCTATGAAATAGGGTGCTTGGATGTTTGCATTCTCTAAAACTGGTGGCTGATAAGGGCTCACAGGTACTTACTGGTGCCTGTCCCTGTTGTTATAATACAGCAATTTCTTCAGTAACTGAAGTAAATTGGGCGTTTGATAAACAACTACAGAACCCTCACCTTGCGTGCTGCAATGTTCCATTATGTCTTCTGGACTTCTCAGCTGTGACCTGACCTACTCTTGAGCCCTTGTTACTAGGGCCTGATGGACCTACGAATTTTTTGCAGAGCTGCAGTGTAGTTTAAAGCTTGTTGCCTCAACAGAAGGTAGTCCAGGTAAGACTTCACCTAGATGCTGAACTTGGCTGGGCACAAGCTGCCTGGGTGCTGCTTGTCTGACAGCAATCTTGCGTCCTTCAGATACTAAAGTGCTTCATACTTGCACAGCATTGTCTTGATAATTGCAGTTTAATTGCCTGATGAGTTAGAGTTGAGTTGGCTTCCCCCTGCAGCTTCCTAAAACGATCCTTTGTAGTTGCTGTATAACAGTCTGCCTTCAGAAGTAGTTGTGAGAGGAGATTGTGAGGATAAAAGGGTCACACTCTGCAGCAACAACCCAAACGGGAGCTGTGCATCTCAGAACTGAATTAGGTGTGGCTAATTAATCGAATGACAATAGTTAATATACCATGTTCCGTTCTGCAGTTACTGGCTCTGTTGAAGATCCTCTTTCTCTTTAAATGCACCTTGAATAAAACTTGCGAATGAATGCCCAAGGTCAGTGACTGCACATGTGCTGCTCAGAAATAGCAGGTGGTGAAGGGATACCCCTCTGTCACATGGCTGGTCTCTGCCTTCCAGCGTGCTTGTTGCTTTTGCTCTCTGTTCGTGGGGATGCAGCTCCCGAGCCCAGCGTGCTGCTGCATTTTCTGCTCGGTGGAGATCTGCCGTGGTGATGTCATTGTTGCTGTGAGCGCTGTTCCTGCGAGGCTGCTCCTCCTCTCCGGTGCCAGCAACCAGCACTCCGTCCATGGGGGAAGCTTTGTCAACACTGCTGTTGCTATCTCATGGTCAGTGACCCTGGTGAGGGAAGCAAGCTCATCAAGGCCACTGGAGTGTGTTGATTTGCAGCTGATCTTGAATAGCCTTGACTTCTCCTGCTGGGAAACCTGTTTTTGAGGCCATGGCTGTCTTTACAGGGCAGTGAAACTTCAGGAGGGGTGCACTGCCTTTGAGATGGGGTTGAAGCGTAAGCTTGTGGCACAGATTTCTATTTGTATAATTTAAAGGTGCTGATGTAGTGAGTGATTTACTCATACCTTTCCACAG